CCTGATGTTACCGCCTTCTGATGTTATGACTGCCTTTTCGAACTACAGCCATTTTTTCGTTGCCCATTATTGTTTTTTTTGCCCTTTTGAACTTCGTTTGTGACACGAACGTACTTGCCCCAAAACAAAAAGAAGAGGGCTACAGGGATACAATGCCTGCATGATGGCATGATGTAAATTATACTTTAATCCACCTACCAAAGATATCATGCATCAGTGATGTCCTACACGTTTATTTGGCCTCCAAAAGGTATTGATGTGTTAGACAGCTCCTTGGGGGATCCCCTTTCTAACTACTCTTAGGAGCCATTCTCATACTCTCACCTCTTTTACTTGTTTCTGGACGGAATTGCGGTCAGATGCAAACGCTTGTGGCCGCAATTGGAGTCTGATGCATTTTGGAAAGTACTAGTGTGAGTATGCCGTTATTCTGCTCTCTGAGTGGGAACATTCATAAGGAAAGGAGGAAGCAAACTTGAGTCTGTACCCACTGAGGTTTACAGTGGGAAACCCTCCTTGGCAACTCAGGCTTCCTTGGGATGTTTTGGATTACGGGGTTTAGGATGTAGATGGTGCTGGGAAGAGGGGGGGAGGGGGAGGGACAGGTATAAGTAGATCTGAGGGGCACCTATGGGGTTTTTGGCAAGTGCACCTATGGAACTAAAGCATTTGGAATCCTACAAGTGGCGGTGGGAACACTACTGGTTATATGGTAAGCTTAAGTGAGGGAAGAGCAAGGAGCAAGTTTAACTGCAAGTTTAAGTGGAGTTGTATCAGGTGGGTTTGTGGTCAGAGACCCATCTTCAAGTTGGCAACTCAAGCGTCTTTGTGGGGGTGGTTGGCAGAGAGGTTTAGGGTGTAGATCTAAGCAGCTCTTGCATTTTTGCAGTCAGTGTAAGGAAGGGAAGGGAGCGAACTTGAGTCTGCACCCACCCACCATACTCCTCGATTGAAGGACTTGGGTCCAGTTCTAAGCAGTTCTGAGTTCGCACTTCTCATGATTGGTCTCACATCGTTGGGACCTTTGGAGGGGCACTGAACGTTCAGCAAAAGCTGAAGCTGACTGGGTAGTGACCCCTCTATCTACCGGGTTTAGGATAGAAATTGTTAGGTCCCCCGCCTCGTGAGGAATTTTCTTGCAAGAAATTTGTACTCGCTAAAAATCCAGAAATATAGACTCAGAAACAAACAGCATATCATAGTGGTGAGCATTGTCCACCTGCTGTGGGGAGGGGGAGCGGGGGAAGGACGGTGGTAAGGGGGGAGGCAAGAGGGGGCCTTGAGGGAACGGGCGGGGGGCGGGGGGCGGGGGGGAGAAATGATTTGTACCTTCTGAAATCCGCTCTCCTTCATCCCAATGTCCAGAACCTCATCTGGGTCAAAGCTATTTCCTGTCACAAAGGGGCCCAAGGCTGCAATCACTTTCTCAGGGGACCCTATTTCATCGATGGTTACACCTGGTTTATTTGTAAGCCGGACCAGGGGGGCGGCCACAACCTGCATCAGAGAGACCCACCGACCAAGCAACCACACGCATACAAAGTTTCGTTCAAATTAGGCAGGTAGACTCCCACTGGGGCTGTCCTGAAAATTTTGAGAGAATGTGACCAGATTTTTTATTCATGGCTACGCCGGACCCGGACCCGGACATTTCCGGACATGGAACCGGACCCATGACCGGTAGTTTCCGGACGTCCGGAATTCCGGACATTTCCGGACCTCCGGACATGGGGGGATCCGGATGGTCCGGAAGTCTGGACAGGTCCGGAAATGTCCGGAACATTAAAAAAAAAAAAAAAAAAAAATCTGAAAAAAAAGTATGTTATGCAGAATAATTACTATAGAGAGAGAGCATGTCCGGACCCCCCAAAAAAGCATAAACGGGCCTGAAAAAACCCCAAAAACAATTTTGGGGGCTTGGCTCCTCAATGGGGAAGGGTCCTGGACCGTTTTTTTTTGTTTTTTTTTTCTCGAAATTTGCCAGATCCGGACCTTCCAGACCGGACGTCTGGATTCCGGACTGAATCCAGACCGTCCGGACGGCGGTCCGGACGTCCGGATCGTAGTCATTTTTTTTTTTTTTTTTTGAAACTTCAATTTTGGGCTGTCCTGCTTGACAGGGGTCTGGTCCCACCCACCGTTGTTGAGGTTAGAAAACTTAACGGTGTGACGCCATTTCGACTTTAATAAATTTGAAACAATAATTTAAAAAACGGAAAAAAAACGCTAGAAAGTTGAAACAGCTTTTCTCCTTATTTTTTATAACGTACGTCGGAGAAATGAAACATGTCTGGAACAGTCGGAGTGAATGTCTCCGTGAAAGGGATACTCCCCGCGGTGAGGGGACAGGAGGTCACCATTTGTAAAACGGACAGGGACAACGTGGATGGCCAAATGCATTCATTGCCCAAAGAAGGAAACGAGTTTGATGCCAGACAGCCAAACACAGCTGTCAGAGTTCCTCCATTTCAGGATGCAATGATGCCTAAAAAACCAAAAAAAAGAAAAGACACTGCAGTTGAGAAATGTACCCTACCCTCGGTAGGGTAGTTTTCTCAATGGAATGTGGTTTCCCGCCCAAACCAAAGGGGCCAAAGCATACTACAAAACGGATTTCACGTCAAAGGAAAATTCTACAAAATGCCAAAATCTAATAGGTTATTCTCCTGTATTTCGGTACCATTAGATCGCAATACATCAACGGCAGAGCTCCGTCCCACCATGCCACACGTGATAGAAAGCTCAGCATTGAGAAAACTCAACGCTGTAGGTGGGACCAGACCCCAGGGTGATAAGAGCATCCATCTCAAGCAGGCCCCCATGTTTGAAGGCTCCATCTATTGATGGGGAGCTGCACCTGCTGCAAATCAGGTCCAGCCTGTTGAATACATTGTCATTCAGTGTATAGTGTGTTGCTGTTGGAGGCATTGATTGCTCCCCTGTAAGGATTAACCTCATGCTGTGTATAGGACCGCCCTCCCACTGCTTGTGTCCGGGACCACTGCATCTTTCACCCTTTCTGCTCTTAATAGCTCTCATGTCCGTTCTACCCCAACTTCCCCTTCTTTTCCTTTTTGAAAAAACTGCTCCTGAGTCACCTTTTTAGTTTGAAATAGGCAAGAAAAGACAAAGTGGCGCCGATGTCATTGTTTGAGTTTCAGAATGTGCAAGTTCAGCAGGACGTTGAAACTGCAGCCGTTTTTTTGAAGTAGCGCGAATGCAGATTTAGCGGTGGCTTTCTTTGCCCTGTTTCCAGAATTGCTAAAGTTGCGTACCACTAATCGACAAAGAAAAAGGAAAAGGAAAACAGCGGACAAACAACAAACATGTCATTACTGACACGAGCCAACAGGAATCAACCATGAGGAAAACTGGAGGGAGAGATGGGAGGACAGCCCAAAACAAACCCTGATCCCATGTCATCAAGGACCGGCTTGATGCTGATGCCGATGGGCGCACCCTGACCCAGCCGGGGGTCCCTAGCCGGGGGTCCCTCCGGGAGACAGCAGGTCACAGTATGCGCTTGACTCCATACACCCTCTCAGGTTTTATTTCGTGCAGAAACTCCACAGGAAGGCCACCAGGAATGTTCAGGTCAGGGACACCACCTTGTGTCCCATACCCAGGCAATCCGCAACCAAATCTATGTCAAACATGCCATTCAATTTGAGTTTTTAGAGCAGGCTCTGGCCTCTCAATTAAACGACCGGCTAAAATGGGTCTTTGGAGTGCTTCGCTCTCAAAAAATGTCGATGGCAGATGCAAGCGATCACTTCCTTGTTGAGTCGTCAGGCATTTCCACGGCCACTGTCCTCACTCTGAATCCTTTGGACAAAAAACATATCCTAACATTGCCAAATGTCAGATTCAGAGGACTGTCGGTGTGCAGTGGCCAGTGGAGACCGCTGAAGAAGCTCACAGCTGATGAGCGAAGACTGCACCTCATGGCGAATACCTATTGGGTCGAATTTAGTTTCGCCTCAATACACATCCAAGGGGAGATCCTGAAAATGCTGGAGAAGATCGGCCCCATAAGGGGTTTCATTAACGACCTCCCCCAATTCTTGGCAAAAAGGGATGACACCCTGTTGGTCGCAATTGACTGGTTGCCAGCAGAGGTCCTCCCCCTCAGAGGGGAGTGGCACTACCATTCCGATGGCAAGAAGTTCCTAGTACCTCTCAGCCAACCCCAAGACTCCTGGTGCCACGTATACAAGTGCAGAGGTCACCTGTACGCGGACGACACTTGTCCATTCAACCGTCGGAAGTTGCCTAAAGGGCTGGTCACCCATCATCCGACAGAACCGGGAGCCTGGATCCCAGAAGATGAGCAATTCCAAGGTTGGATTTTTCGGACAAAGGGTAGACAATGCACTGGCCGCTGGTGTCGGGAGGGGTGGGTAGGCCAAAGAGGACCCTGGAAGGTGCCAAAAGCCCCCAACAGCAACAAAATCGTCTCCCCCAACCAAAGACACAGAAACAGTCTCATGGAAACAACGGTACGACTGGGCAAGGACCCAACCATACCGATTGCAGAGAAGGCACATCAGAAACGGGGGAGGGGGAGGCCTGACAGAATCCCAGCCCCGCTCAGGAACCTATCCTCAGGGATCAAGGCCGATAGACCTGCTCCCCATTTCCAAAGACCTCACAGGGCCACTAACGGAGGCCACCATCCTCCCGTTCAGCCCGTCCCGCTCTTTTGACCACAAGATGATAGCTCCTGGCCAAGCCCGGTCCACTCGCGCGGCCCAAGCTTCTTTAAGTTTAATACCTCCCTGTTAAAAGAATCGGCATTCCATCAATGTGTGAAGGACAACTGGGACTATCGGCAAACGAAAAAGGCTGAATTTGTCGGTGGTGGACTGGTTCAACCACAGAGTGGGCCAACTGAGAGAAAGTGCAAAAAAGTACTCTACTGAAAGAGCGAGGGAAAGGAAGGCTGTTTTGGAGGGGCTCTTGCACACATTGGAGCAGTGGGACGACTGACTAATTCTCCTCTAGGTAATGAATGATGTTTACTCCCAGATCCAACAGGCGAGAGACACACTAAAACAGTACCTTGATAATCAGGCCGAGTTGTTGTCATATGACACTTGATAGTCGTAGGCAAACCAAACATATAACAAAGAGGTCAACGCAACAGCAGCCACCCACCAAAGACAAGTAGAGGATAGTAGGTAGACAACGGATAGATAGATAGCAGATGACGAAGGAAGGGAGATGGAGGAAGGGAAGAGACACACAGGATAACAGTTGAAAAAATCCCGAATGCGACTTCGTTCCGACGAAAAATAGAGTGACAAAGTCTTGGAACGTTACGGCGATGACCCGACCGGTTTCGGCTGGACGCAGGGACCAGCACTCATCAGGGGTCTTGGTCTAGTTTGGTAGGTAGTCAATTATATATCCTGGAAGCATCCTGCTCTGCGGATCGTAATTGCCTAAGAAGAAACCTATATGCCTAATAGATGACTGGGTTTATCATAGAGAAAAGCAAAAGGGGCTAAATCCCAACAGACCTTGCTGCACCGGTATTATCCAGTCAACCGCCATTACTTCACGCATGTTCCCATTCAATCCTATCGACAGCCAAGTCACCAGTTCAAATCCTGTAAAACCTATTTTGTCCTGTTCAATCCCAGTCGTGAAAGACTGAAAGTTCTTCTTCAGTCACATCAATAAACAAACACTAAGTCCCAAGGTCACGAGTTCTCAAGTCTTATAGCTATCAAACTCAGGTACTTCAGAAAATTCATGTTACCACCTCAGTTCCAGTCATCAAATCGCGGGTTCGAATCTTATAGCAGAAGGTCCTACAGTGCACCACGTTCCCCCAGCATTCATCGGCTATGCGACCAGCCAGTCAAAACCAGCAGCCACTCACCCCATAAGCCGCAAAATTTATTTGCGAAGCTAATCAACGCATTATCAAAACATTCATTGGGATATCCCTTCCTCCATAACTCCACCTTCAAAGTAAACAAGTAGGTCAATTCGGTACCTCTTAGAGTAGTAAAAGTACGAGCACGATGTAAAAAGATCCTATAACTTCCATCTTCAGCATTCGTCTGGAAAAGGAGGAGAAATGCTGAATACTTTGGAAAACCACCCGCTCCCCCTTCCAAGTCAACTGGTTCTTGTGCGTCACTGCACATCCCAAGCTATTTCCTCCTTCCACAATTTTCAGAACACAGCCCACAAAGTCCCAACTTAGCCCTTTGTTGATTTTTGGCAAAACCAGATTTGAATCGTAACAGCCCTGGAAGCTATCAATCAGTTGTTGACCCAAATTACAAAGACAGACACATCGTCCATCAAACGAAACCCTTGGAAGAGCTTGCGTTGATCCCCCAGAGACAACAGAAAATAATATTTGTTGAAGGCACATATCAGACATGTAGCAGACCTCTGGTTGGCCTGTGAGACCAGCCCCTTGGCCTGTTCTCACAGGCCTGTTGGAGCGGTACCCCTACGGCCCGGCAGTGAGGCCGGAC